TTTAATTTGGCTCCACTATGTGTGAGCCTAACATGCATATAGATTTAAATATATATTACTGATAATAAATGAACAATAAAATGATTTTCTTAAGGTATTTTTCCAGATATTTACTACAAATAAAATAACATTAAAATATACACTTTAAATTCGCAGATATGAATGATATTCCGAAAAGGCGACTTAGAGTCCATAGAGTTAAAGTCAATCAATTTTATAAGTTTATATGTGACCGACCAAATTCTTACCCCACCCCTCGTGTATACTGGAGCAAAGGTCGCTATAGCATACCAATGGTGTATGACAACCGTGTCTATCAAGATAGCGAAAACAATCTGGTGATTTCCAATGCCAAACCTGAGGATAGTGATGTGTATGTGTGTGTTATTTTCAATGACCTCATCAGCAAATCTGTCTTTTCAAGGTTTCATCGCCTCGTCCTATCAGGTTTGTGTTTTTTTATATTTCATGTAAATAATTTTTAATATTTAGCAGCACAAGGGTTTACAAAGGGTAAGATGGTCATCAATATTCTTTTTTAAAGGTGTCCAAAATGTACTAAGGAGGTGTTGAACGTAGAACGGATTCACTCATTTGTGACTCGTTGCTTACGTTATACATTCTACTTTTATACGACAAATGCGAATATATCACGAACTCAAAGACTCTGATGCACTAATTTTAATGCAGTGCAGTCCTTGTTCTGGCCTGAACATAGATTTAGCCGACAACTGTTCCAGACTTCAGGAGCGAAGTTAATTTAACATGACATCATTACGTTTTACCTCATGGCAAAGTGAAAGCTTCCTATTGTTTCCTGAAATACTACACAAAAATTTTTTTTTTGTCATTTCAAAATTATTTTCACAAAAACCTACATAATTACCCAGCAAAAACTCCCCCCCCCCCACTATAGCAACTCCTCCCACCATATTTCCCACACTTATGCTACCAAGTCCTCAAAAATATACCCGGCACCTCCCCGTATAGAAATATTTAAGAGTGAGCCCCGGGGAAATTCTATTCCTGTTAATTTCTGTTGTATGCTAAATTTTATTTTTTTATCAAAACATTTTAGGCAGAGCTCCTACTGACCGCAGGTCTGTCCAGCTTGCGACCCCAATGCAAGAGACTGTGTATGTTGTTAGTGGAGATACCTTCAACCTCTGGTGCTCTCCTCAAGGCTTGTAAGTTAAAAAGCATTCTCTTTACTTTCCCTATCTTATTGCCAATTGTGGTGGGAAAAAAAGAAAATAAATTTGAATCTTTAGTCATCAACATCACTTCTGTTCTTGTGTATCTTGCTAGTTATAATCAATTAATTCCCAATATTTATATATGGAGTCTATTATGTGAATACTATCCTTAATGAACCTAGTGCCCAAGTTTCTTTTGGCAAAACTTACTTCGGGATAAAGTGGTCTTTCACCCATGTTGAAATGGCAAAAAGCAAGTGAAGAAGTACATACTGTGTATTCATTACATACATTGTGTTAGGAGGGATGATTTCACCAACACAACTTCTGATTTGTGTATTTGCTTTCTCTGTCATTTCACTCCAACAACTGTTTGTAAGGAGATGGTGGGCCAATCTCTTGAGGCTGTCTTACAGTGATGACTTGAATCTTTACAATTGTTTTTTTTTTTCCTTTAAGCCCGACTCCAACGACTGTTTGGGAGAAACTTAATGGCTCACTCTCAAACGTTGTATATGAAAATGGCGGTTTGAAGCTAACTGTGTTCAATGCGGCATATGAGGATTCTGGCAGATACAAATGCAGCTCACAGAATGGCATTGGAGACCCGTTTGAAGGCTTTGTTGATGTTGTAGTTGGAGGTAGGGAAACACTACTGGTGCCAATATGCTTAATATATTAAACTTTAATTTGTATGACATATCAGTATAATTTGTATGAACATCTATTGTCATTATGTTTATTCTAATAATATGTAGATAATAATGAAGGTAAAGATGCTTATGTAAATATAGAAGATAGCAAATGAGTAATAAGTTTTAGATCATGATTTTCATATTAGACAGAACCCTCCAATTGGAGACCACTGTGGGATCTGAAAATTTGGGGTGGCCTTGAAGGTCTATAGCTTTAGTGCTAAAAGATTGGCGATCTTGGAAAAAGTGGTCTCGAATTAGAGGGGTCTCGGAATGAGAGGGGTTTCAAATTGGATGGTGCACTGTACTATTTTATTCTCACTATCATTGCTTTAGATAAGCCATCCTGGTTGGTCGAGCTCAAGAGTATTGTACTTTCTGTTGAGGATTCTGTAACATTAGCATGTGAGGCTGAGGGCATACCAGACGTAACTTATGATTGGATGTTCAATGGGAAATCAATTTCATTAGGTAATTCTAATAGATAACATTTTTGCTTGGTACAAAGTAGTGCAACATATAAAAATAATTATTTGAATAAATTATTTGAATAAAGTGCCTCATTTGTTCAAAGCTAATACTATCACAGAAAATGTTTATGAAGTATTAAAATACTTTAGATGCATTATGTGAATACAAAATAAAGATTTAGTAGAATTAATATTATTTATTATTATTCTGTATTTTCTAATATTGTGGTTTTTCGTTTTTATTTACAATTTTTTTTCGTGGATACTTAACAGGATGAACAGATATAAGCCAGATTCCAAATGGAACTTAACCGTGAAAAATATTGGAATCGTCTAATCCAGTCTTATATAACGCATCAATGTTATGTAAAAAGCCTCAAATTTCCTTTCGACATGAGCGACTATAGTGAAAGCTTAGATAGTGAAACAAAAAGATTGTTCTAGAAAAATGTTGATAGAATTTGGTTCAATAATAGCCACCCATTACCATAGAGTAAATCCCTGGAGGACCACGGCAAGGTGTCTATGCGGCAAAGTGATGGCCTGATAAACGGAAAAAGGACGGCATGAAAACGGAAAAGGATCTGAAGAAGGATTGACCGCCAACCCCAGACTTTCTAGTTAAGAAAAGAATGCGTTGGAATCTGTCAGATAGAATTTGATTTTTTAATGTATATAAATAATTGTAATATACTGGATGAAAAGAGACAAAAAATAGTATTAATAATAATAAAATATTTCTTTTTTTTTCATCTTTACTTTATATAGGAAATGTGCGTGTTGCTGACCATACACTTCAGATAAATACCGCAAATCTGGAAAACCGTGGTGTTTACACATGCAAAGCATCCAACAGGTTTGGTACAATTTTAAGTAATGGTGCAGTCAATGTTGTTGGTGAGTTAGTTTATCATTTTCACATTATTTATTTTGCTGGATATCATTACTACTTCTGCTGCTTCTGCTACTACTAATTCTACTGCTACTTTTTTGCCACTGCCACTGTTTGCTGCCGCTGCTGCTTCTACTAATATTACTGCTATTGTGCCTCTGTTGCTGGTTCTACTATTACTGCCACTTCTTTTGCTGCTGCTGCTTCTGCTACTGCCGCTGCCATTGCTGCTGCTGTTTCTACTACTACTGCTACTGTTGCTGCCACTGCTACTGCTTTTGCAGCTGCTTCTACTACTACTACTGCTATTGCTGCTGCTGCGGCTACTGCTGCGGCTTCTACCACTACTGCTACTGCCACTCCTGCTGCTTTTACTACTTCTGCTGCTACTGCCGCTGCCACTTCTGCTGCTTTTGCTGCTGCTGCTTTTGCTACTACCAGTGGCCCCCTCCTAAATTGTTAAAAAATGGGGATAAAAAAAATTGTATTTAAATTTTAAGTCTGAGAGTGCAGTCTATTTCGTGAATACTTACCTGGATAAACCGACTAATTGCCATTGTTCCCAGCACTTTGTGGCTAACAATACACAAAGGAGGTTCTCTTTCAACGAACGTCGAATAGGGAATGAGGACGTTTGTTAGGGAGACAGTTCGTTTGTGGCGTCCTGGGTCAGACTGTTCCATTATATTTCGAATGGGTGTTCCGTTTTTGGAACAATGGCAATTAGTTGGTTTATCCAGGTAAGTATCTCACTCATAGACTACCAACATCACGATTGATTTATGTAATTTCTGGCCATCCAGAGATGCCATAATCAACTATGGTGGGGCTGAGGGCATAGGTTCTCCATCTGTGAGAGTACCTCCCTGAGCCCCCTCAATTTTGAATTCCTGGATTTGCCACTGACTGGTGCTACTGTGGCTGCCAATGCTATCATCTCTCTTCTGTTGCTGAAAATAATTCACATTTGTCGGACCATCTCAAGTCCTCCTGTAAGTTTTGATTAGTTTACTAGTTGACATCTGATACAGAAGATATTATCGATAATTTGATAACCGTGTATGCATCTTAATAGAAGTATACATTATCTAAATATAGAACTCCATAACATGCACTCAAATTTGCATTAATTAAAAAAATCTCAATAGCAGATGATATCTGTGTGTCTACTTTGTAAATACTTGCTTAAATTAACTAATTGTCAATGATCCTTTAAGAATACCCCTACGACAAAAATAGAACTCTCCGATTATCCTAGTGCATGACTGCGTCCATGCCAAAGCATCCTCCTCATTTTTATTTGTGTATTTTGATATAAAAGGGTCTGAGGAGGTAATTTTATAGATGGAGGTTCCAAGACAACTTTACGTCTATGAAATTTTTATGTGAATTTCAGAGTTTACTCCAAGGGTCATTCAGTCTAGTAACAGAAACCTGACAGTCTCCGAGGATCAAAGTGTGGTGCTTCATTGTCAAGGTTATGGTGCTCCTGTTCCAACTATTGTTTGGAAATCAGATAAATATGGTGTGGTAAGTTTATAATGTGATTAGCCCATAAGAATGTAAATTAGGCTTTTGTCTACTTTCCACATGCTCGGAGAACTGCTGACGTGAATATACAATTTTATATACAAAAGAATCATTTTCCCACGCTGACAAATTCTCATATCTCATAGTTAGACTAGATGTTTAACACAATCAGTCCTGGGAAAAATATGTTTCTGACCATGAAAATTGTCTCGATAAAATTCTTCTAGCACCAAATGTTATCTGTACACCATATTGCCCAAGAGTTTATTTTTTAGAATTTTTTTTCACCAAAAATGCCTCCTGAACATTCATGACGCCTCCGACCGCCAATCATGCACTTTTTCCAGTCCAGACAATAACGTTGTTTGACCAGGAATATGATTTTCATGTATGCTTATTTAGTATATATGCTCGTAAATTTTAACATTGCATATGTTTTTTTTTAAATATAAAGTACCCTCCTCAACATTTCTTTTGTAGGAGAAAGCAATGAGCATTTCCCATTATTCCATTAACTCTCTTATTAGAGTTATTTGAGTGATCAGACTTCACTTATAAACCCTGATGTTGGCCGTAGTCTTCAGCTCAGTTTAATTACATTTAACTTACATAACAACACTATGGTGATGTCTGTTTTTATCCAATTAGATTGATTCCAACAGCAAGTTCGAAGTCAGGGATGATGAGTATCTGATCATTCATGATGTTGAGGTGTCTGAGGGTGGTATTTACACTTGTGTAGTTAGCAATGTTATAGGAGAAGCTCAAGTCAATTTCAACATACTTGTACAGGGTAAATACTTCACTAAGTGGTATACTGTATCTTATACCAATTATACATGTATTACTGTAACTAAAGTAGCTGGAAAACAAAATAATATAACAGAGGTTGTTTGTTATTATTTTTTATTGAGCGTTTTAAGCCCAATACCAAAGATATTTGCCAAATAGTGAATTGAATCATTTGCCGAAGTGCCATATCCTGTTACAAGACAAACATAAACGCAAGATGCTCTACATAAACTAAAGCCAATTACTCAGTGCGCCAGATGGCCGTTGACCGATGCGATTCTATATAGAACGCAAGGCCGCGACTTACGCGCATGCATTCTTTTTGATGCCACTTACAATAATCAGTTACAATCATCAGACGGCGTTGTGTCGTCTACCACTCACAACAAGTGGATTTGGATTCATCAGGCGACGGTCGTACGAACATCGTACGACACAGTGAGTGCCCGGCATTATGGGGCTTGGGGAGTGGAGTTGTTTTTGGGCGTGATAAAAAAATCTAAATATGAGAGTTATTTGAGGAGCCAAGAGATCAGACTGCAAATAAAACCCGGCACTGGCCAGGTTGAACCGGGATTTTCAGCACAAGAAGCAGTTACAGTCCCTCTCAGTCAACCGCTCAGATGTAATTAATATACTGGACCGATATTTAACATAGTTCATGAATGTGTTTTAAAGATTAGTATCTTGTATTTATGAGACTAAACTTTTGGAAGGTTGTAGTTTTGATGTCAAATGTGAGAAACATACGTAATTCCTGTGACAGACAAAACATAATTATGTGAAAAAAAGTTTAGAATATCAGCAGAATGATAAATTTGCTAATTTGTTCTTGTAATGTAGGATCTGATAAAATTGTTATGGATGCAATACCTAGGAATCAGGCCATCATAGTTGGCCAATCAGCGAGCTTCAAGTGCCAGGTCCAGCACTCAAACACAGAGGTCACAGACATCGAATGGCAAGATGAAAATGGAGAAGTCATTGGTCAGACTGGTAATGCCAGTTATGTGGTGGATGACAACAACACTCTTAGCATTTTGTCAGCTGGGTTTGAGGACCAGAGACAGTACACATGTGTGGCACGCACAGATCGCATTCAAGGAACAGCCAGTGTTAGACTCTTTGTGAATGGTGTGTTTTTTTTTATAATTCCCTATAAACTGATTAATTATAAACATTTTTATGAAGTGGAACATCCTCAAAAAATTAATGAAACAGTAGGCCTTGGCTTCCGACATAAACATCCAACACAAGCATGCATTCTTATTCTTTTTCAAATTTTATGTGAAAAGATTTTTTTTTTACTTGAGACTGGCGAATATTTTTTTTGTAAGTTTTAGCAACCTTATATTTCTGACTTTGTTAATGTTGTATCTGTCATTTTTTTTTTCATTCTGTAATTGTCCAGCCACCTGCTGTTGAATATGAATTAAGATGAATAAGATCCAATTATCTTTCAGATATTCCACAACCTCCAACCGATGTCAAAGTTGAAATGCAAGAGGACTTGTTAGCCACTCTTTCATGGACACCTTCTTTCGATGGAAACACTGCGATTCTGCTTTACATAGTAGAGTACACCACACAACATGAAGGGTACGGATGGCGGAAGATGCAAGAGGTTAACGGAGCATCCAATAGCATCATTCTTAATCTTCTACCGGGAAATGAATACCGATTCCGAGTGTTTGCGGAGAATATTGTGGCCCGGTCAGCTCCTAGTTTGGCATCAAATGCAATCGTCACAGCTCCAAGCTATCCAAGCCGAAGTCCTGAAGAAGTTAAAGTTCATTTCTCTGGAGATTCCCTCATTATTGAATGGAGTGTAAGTGTATTAACATACATTGCTTAATGTTTTTAAGAAATTGAATATGATTAGTCCAATTACCTAGGATTATTTTACCATAGTAATAATCTTGATGATGATGATGATGATGATGATGAGGATGATGATGATGGGGAAGGTTGCAACAAAGGCAATGAGAAAGCATTGTTTTTTATTTAGACTTATTGAATATTATCCATTCATTAATCAGTGTTAATTATTTTTTAGACCATTGATCCAGTATACTACGGCAGCTCAGATCAAGATGTACATTACGCAATTCTAATCCAAGCTTCAAGTTCATTGACAGGATACACTGTCACCCTGCCAGTATCAGCCACATCATATATTTGGGGTGTTATAAATCCATCTGAGACTTATTCTGTTGTTGTGCAGACTGTTAATTCATATGGTGTTGGACCAGTGGCCTCACCAATAACACCTGGTGAGGATTGATATTGTTATCTAAAATATGTTTTTATTCAAAATATTGTTTGTTTTTCCACTTTCTTTAGCATACTGTAGCTTACTCTTGATATCCATTGATCATTGTCTCCTTCGTCCTTGTTAAGATCCCAAAGCTGTTTTAAATTGTCAGTGTATAGTTTTAACAATTTATTATTATTCCATATCTCTTATGATAAGGAAAACTTGTTGATTATGCCCCAAATTGTGAATGATATATTTTTTCTGATTCTGTAAGCTGTTCTACCTGTGATATTATTTTTGAATATGGTCATTTCATCAATGAGTTTGTCTTTCGTTTTTGTGAATGTAATCCTTCCCCAACGGGTACAATTAACATAAACTTACAGTATTTAATGATAATAATAATAAAGTCTTGTATATAGCGCATAATACAAGAAAGTTGCTTCTAGGTGCTTCACATAAACAAAAAGAAAACATAACCATGAAATATCCTAATACTACAAAGAAAATTAATAACAAAAACGGCATAAACAGCAGAAGAATCAACATTATTCTGTATTTTTCTAAGTATACCCTTTCTTAGTCATTAGATACAGAATCAGTCATGGACAATGTGAAACCTCCTTTGCTCCTGAACCCTCTTGAACCCACACATAATTCACCACTACTTAGTTTAATTGGCATTCACATCATATTTATATTTTTTTACTATTACACTTTGTTTACATTGTTGATGATAATGAATATTTTCTGATTTGGTAGAATGTGTTCCAGTGCATTGTAGTATATACTGTGTGTATGGATTTGTCTATGATAATAATGGCTGTCAACTATGTCAATGTAGTCCACCTCCTCCAACAACACCAGGTATATTTTAATTACTAGAAATTGCAAATTGCAAGTGAAGTGCTGCGAAGTACAACTGCATAAAATGCCGTGTACAATAGTGTTTTGCTGCAGTGACATCTCTCTACTGGCGACTCGCTGCTGCTGCTGGCGATTATCCGATGACTCGCTGCTGGCGAATCGATCTGCGCATGTGTATAAAATGGTATTTATTTCCGAAAACACTATGCCAGTCTGCAACAAGCGTCACCTAAATGTAATAATTAGCACGTTGAAATAGGCTAGTAAATAAGTTTAACTGGGTTCGTAAATAATATTGTCCTCAAAATATTGTGGCTGAGACATGAGCTGATTAAACGTAGAAATAGGAAACCTAGAAATATAGTAAAAACGCTGAATAGTACTCCAGCGTCGCGAGATGCCGACGTCGGTACGAGTAGGTTAGTCTACAAATGTCGCCTAAAGTAATTGATTTTACCCGGCAGAACGAAAGAAGGAAACTCCGCTTTTCAGTTGTCTTAGGCGATAGTTTTTTGACAAACAATGAACTTTCAGAGGTCAAATTGCTGTCAAGAATATGAATTGGCTGCTTCGCAGCAATTATTGCGTCTGTAGTAAGTCCGCCCTCTTGAATACGAAGTTATGCAAAATTTGCGGTGGACTCACTACCTGAAGATTCAAATTTTTAACACTATTGTACATGCCAAAACCAATCATTGGCTTTTTTTCTGAAATTACCAAGTTGAATTTACAAATGATATATTGTTATTGCATGAGGTATAGTAAATTAATTAAAGGAACTTTTTGCTTTGTAGTACCAACAGTTGCATGTGTAACAGTGACTTGTATTGGATCCTGTCCTGGTGGTAGACGAGTTGATGAAAACGGCTGTCAAACATGTGAATGCATTGGACAGCAAGGTAGTTGTGTTTCCCTCCTCCTACCACATTCCACCCCCCCCCCCTCCATGTGTAGTTTAACATAGAATACTTAGGATTTGTTGCAGTTTTTTAGTATCCAGCAGGACGTCCTTGTATGTTGTTAATTTTTGTAGCAATTAGATGCAAGCACTTTTAAATTTTAATGACAATTGTACATAGATTGAATTACTTGCCTGTAATAAATTGTTTATGTTTTTATTTGTATGATTAATAAAGCATGTTTTTTCAAGCGTGAAGTATAATAACTGTTTAGAATAGAGACAAAATTAGTCCCATCAACTGCACCCATTGCATATCCTTTGCTGCATGTGTGTTGTTCCAGGCAGGTTGATAATGATGGATATTAAGTAAAAGTATGTTTTTTAATGCATTAAAAAATGCAATGCAATGCAAGTTTGATGCATAGGAACATGTATAAATGTTGAAGAAAACACCACACTTGTGAAGCTATGTCAAAGGAATTGTTTATCTTTTTATATTTCATATCTTGAAAAGTGCTACCACAAATAGCAGGGGCAGATTTGGTGGGGTAGGCCCAGCCCCCCCCCCTTTGGGAGGTTAAAAAAGATAAAAGAAAGATAAAAAGAAAGAAAAAGAAAAAATGATAGCCCAGAACGCCTCAAATGTTATTTTCGGACGTCTAGAACACAAAGATTTTGCGGAGGCATGCCCCCAGACCCCCTAGGACATTGTTGTCTCGTCGGCCCAAATTTCGGCCCCCCCCCCCTTTTGGACATCTCTGGATCCGCCCCTGAATAGAGGGCGTCCTTCGACAGAATGTGAAAGCAAAGAGTATAGAACTGCAACAGATACGACTCGGAGTTTCCTTGGAATGTTATCCTATTTCAGAATGTACTACCATAAACTGGAGGGCGTCCTTCAAAAGGCAAATTTCGAACTCTATTTGAATTCTAATAGGGTGCCCCCTTTTTCATGGTACTACTTTTTAAAAATTGTTTTGTTGTGCACATACAAAATCAGGGCAGTTGGACCCCTTGCAATTCTGTACTGTTTGGTAAAAGGCGTTTGGATCAAACGCGTGGTGTGAAATTCGGACTAATTCGCTAGTACTTTTTTAACTTTTCATTGCGTGCAAATAAAATCAGGGCAGTTGCTATTTTTTTTTGCTTACAGCACCTGTCAGCTGCCCACCTATGGCTGATTGCCAGATGTTTTGCAGTCAAGGATTTGTGAAGGATAAAAACGGCTGTGACACCTGTGAGTGCTTGTACTCAGCTACAGATGATACAAATGGACCAGTTATAAGTAAGTCTTAACTGTGTAGTCTGTTTCCTAAATACTTAAATAGATTGTTAGGATAAATAAAATGAAATTATTTAATTGTTTATGCAAATACACATGTTAGGGTATGCACTACAGTGGGCATAAAAATTTCAACCTAAGCTAGAGTGAGTGGAGCATAAACCTTTAACATATAAGTTTGCACCCCTGCGACAAAAATCAAACCATCCAATTGTCCCAGCCTGTGACTATTACAGTATGTGAATTCTGAATAAACAGATTGTTAAATTTCTTATTGAGTATCTTATCTTTCAACACTAATGGAATTGCACTACACTAAGACTCTTTCAACAAACTAACCCACTTCGATTACGGGGTAAGGTTGAGAATTGTGATCAGGCACACTAGAATTAGTAAGCTATTATTGTATTGGTGTAGGGAGCCATAGCTCCCAAGTAGTTAAAGGGGGGTCACAGTGAAAATTACATGATTTCAATAAAATTTGTTCTGAAGTTGGGTATGGATCAGATACTATACTAGATTTTCAAACAATCTTTCTTTTCATTTGCACTGAGTTCTTCTATCTTTCTGTTTCCTATTGTGTACTCAAGACCTCCTATTGTGTACTTTTTATATCTAGTGTTTCATGATAAGGATCAACATATACCATTTGTTGCTTCCTCAGAATGTGAACCTTTTCAATGTTCGTTAGAATGTAATTTTGGTTATGAAACCAATGACTTTGGTTGTACTGTCTGTGAATGTTTTTACCCAACCTCTCAATCAGGTAAATTCCATGAGTTCAACAAATTAAATTCTATTCATTTTATATAGAATTGTGTAATTTGTCTATTATGTGAATGGAATTGGTAAGTTTTTAAACACACACACATACTGTAGTAGCAAGGAAAGAGTGTTCTTATGTGATTTCTATTTGAAATTAAATAATTGATTTAAAAAAAATAAAGGTATTGTTAAAAATATTGTTTCTGTATATTGTTTAAATTTCTAATCCAATGTTGGTAAGTAGGCCTATTTTTTTGGAAACAGAGCTATGCTTCTGGAATATATATAATTTTTTGTTTGTTAGTTTTTTTTTTTTTTATTAGAATCCAAATTTATGTGGCGCCTTTCATTCTGGAGAATATAAAAAGGTGCTGGCATCAGTTTTTTTGTCTGGTCATTGGATACTTAGTTGGCAAACCAGCACATTTTTGTGTAAGTTTCTCCGCTCACTGGGGAGTATATCTAGTCACACACAACTACATGCGTTCAATTCCGCACCATCCTCCCATGTACCCATTTATACACAAGAGGCCCAATGACCCTCAAACTCCCGATCTCACAATCAGAAATCCAACACCTTACACCCTGCGCTACATGCTCCTACCATTTCTGCAACATCTGTGGAATCTTTTAAAAAATGGCTGAGTCGACCCTTCCCCAAGAATAAATGGTAAAGCAATCAAGTACAGTATCAAGTATCCTGTATTTATAAAGCAGTAGCAACCTGTTTTGTCTTTACTAATCTCTTTTGATTTTATGTTATTAATGTTATGTCTGAAATTTGAATAAAGAAATTAAACTTAATTTAATGATGTTCTGATATTATAAACATTTTTTTTTTCCTCTTTTTAAAGATATCAGTTATGTAGACTCAGCGGGCGATGACTGTCCGCCTTTTGTCTGTGACAAGTTCTGTTTCTTCGGTTATGAGGTGGACAGTGACTATTGCAGGATATGTACATGTCGGGCTTACAATGGTAAAAAAAATCAAGCATCTTAATAAAAATACTTGTTAATTTACTTACTTTACTTACTTAAGCTGTCCACACTAGCTGTTGGCTGTGTGATGGCTTCTGGATCATGTCATGCCAGACCTTTCTATCTTGGCAGATTCTACAGGCTTCTGTTAGTGACTTCATCCCTCCGGTTTGGCGGTCTGACTTCACTAAGTCCTTCTATCGTTTGGCTAGTCGTCCACTTGGTCGCTTATTAATTTAGTTTTATTTAAATCATCTTTTAATGGCTTGCAGAATACAATATCAACAGCACAAAAGAAAATGAAGCACTCTGTTTCAAATAGATGAATAAAAAACAATGAATCTGTACTACAAACTAAAGGAATATTCTGAAAGAACTAGAAGAATGTTATTACAACAACAATTCGCTGAAAATTAAAAATGTGTATGTGCTTTGTATTTGCAACAAGGAAAGAATCACATAAACGAATCAAACTAAAGTGTAGAGGTAGGAATGCCCTGTGTAGTATTCAAATTAACTTTGTCAATAGATATATCATATTCTCCAAAATTACTCTTCTAAAAAATTATAATACAGTAGAATCCCTAATAATGGACACATTGGGACCGAAAAAATTGTCCCCATTAAGGGTGTCCCTTGAACTGGGGGTTTGCTGTAGTGTTGAAAGCTATACTTTCCCTCGTTTCGTGGCCAAAACAGTGTTCCTTTAATAGGGGTGTCCCTTGTACAGGGCTTTTGGCGTAGTGTTAAAAGGTATACCTCCCTCGTTTCATTGCCGAAATATTGTCCCCATAAGGGGTATCCTAAAGGAGAGGGCTCTACTGCATACCTAATGTTGATGTTACCATATTGACTTCGTTGTTTGTTGCTTTTATATTCAGTAAAGTAAAAAGTGTTGATTTGCCGGTTAATAATTATAAATAATAATAATTATTATTATTATTATTGTTATTATTGTTGTTGTTGTTGTTGTTGTCGTTGTCGTTGTCGTTGTTATCATTATTTCACTGAATCGGACTTAAGGGGAATATCTTTTGTGTTAGTTTCCCCTAAACGTCATGCTATTTTCCCCTTAACATTGTTTTTTCAATTGTTCTCTAATTTCCCCATTGTCTAAGTTCCCTGGTTTTAGTAACATCATCATAATAATAATAATAATAATAATAATAATAATAATAATAATAATAATAATAATACAAAATTGTATAATGTGACAGTGTTAAGGATTCTTCATTAGAAATAATGACTTGTTTATTTGGTAGGTTATGAGTCCCTTGTGCCTGAACTCTCATCACAGTTCATGCTACAGGTTATAAAATTATGTATTGTTCATTGTTTATAATTGAGTCTTCCCATGCTGAAACAATTTACTTTTTAATACTGTATAATATTCATAATATATAAGCTTTAACATGATGGGTCAGTTGCTGAAATCGACTTACTATTTCCAGAGTTATGAGTAAATGTATTATGGCTCCTCTGTACTGAACTATACAATATTATTAATATTATATTGTCACATTCTGTGCAAATTACTCAGTTTAACAATTAGCGAGAGTTGGCTGGTTTTGAAATGGCAAGCCTCAATTGTATTGTTTTATGAATGGTAAATATTTATTTTAAAAATTGTTATATTTTTTACACAGAAAACCTACTACCACCAGCCCCAGAGAATGTCAGGTAAAATCTAAAGTTACATACTTAAGTTTGATGATTTTCTCAATTTCTTAGTAATGCATGAAATACATTGGCGGACTGTAGGGTAAATTGCAGGGTATGCTAGGTATTGGCATATCTAGGATGTACAAGGGGCGCACACATCCCTCCCCCTACCCCTGAAAAAAAATACTCGCCCATCCCCCAGTCGCACCCCACCCACAGATCATGCTCAAGTAATTAAAAATCACCTCATATCACCTTAGTTTGCGAGTTATCCCCTCATAATCACCGATCCCCCGCTTTACCTTCCTGTGCCCATCAGCTCCCTTCCATTTCAAGACCTCTACGCCACTGATGCTAGGGCCTGCTTGCTTGTCTTGACGGTCCAGCACTGATGAAATGCTACATTAATACTTGAGAAAGCAGCTTAGCACAGGCAGTCGGCTAAACAGATGGCATCTCTTACACCTTTCCAGACTGTCAAACTTTCTTTGACAAAAGCATGTGTCATGTCTAAATATGGTCATGGTGACATTACATCATGACCATATATAGGCACATCATGACTGTATATAGGCACATCATGACTATATATAGGCACATCATGACTATATATAGGCACATCATGACCATATATAGGCACATCATGACCGTATATAGGCACATCATGACTATATATAGCACATCATGACCATATATAGGCACATCATGACCATATATAGGCACATCATGACTAAATATAGGCACATCATGACCATATATAGGCACATCATGACCATATATAGGCACATCATGACTATATATGGGCATATAACAGTTTTTTGTCAAAGAAAATTTGATAGTGCGGGCAGACCTTTACGTATCATGAGATGTCATGAAGTGTCTCAGTATCTTCTCTGGTTGGTGGGATAGCACATTAACATCTCTTTAAGCTTTGTCCAGTGACACTATCGCATTTATATATATTTTATTTTATACTAAAGAAATATTGATTAAAGTGCTTATATTTGTTGCAGTTGCTTTGAGAAAAGGAGCTTGACGTTACAGGAAATTGATTCAGCTCTGAATTCAGGCTATCTTATAGCACCATTTCCTGAAGCACCGGTGTGCGACAAGGATGGACATTTTGTAGAGCAGTCATGTACTGTAGAAACTGGGTAAGCTAGAAGGAAGGAAAATATATAAATTTTGTTTGGTATTGTGAAGGTGTATATGATATTCTATATGATAGTCTATATGATAGTTTATATGATAGTCTTTATAATAGTCTATGTGATAGTCTAGATGATAATCTATATGACAGTCTATATGATAGTTTATATGATAGTCTTTATAATAGTCTATATGATAGACTATGTGATAATCTATATGACAGTCTATATAATAGTTTATATGATAGTCTTTATAATAGTCTATATGATAGTCTATATGATAATCTATATGACAGTCTATATAATAGTTTATATGATAGTCTTTATAATAGTCTATATGATAGTCTATATGATAATCTATATGACAGTCTATATAATAGTTTATATGATAGTCTTTATAATAGTCTATATGATAGTCTATATGATAATCTATATGACAGTCTATATAATAGTTTATATGATAGTCTTTATAATAGTCTATATGATAGTCTATATGATAATCTATATGACAGTCTATATAATAGTTTATATGATAGTCTTTATAATAGTCTATATGATAGTCTATATGATAATCTATATGACAGTCTATATAATAGTTTATATGATAGTCTTTATAATAGTCTATATGATAGTCTATATGATAATCTATATGACAGTCTATATAATAGTTTATATGATAGTCTTTATAATAGTCTATATGATAGTCTATATGATAATCTATATGACAGTCTATAGAGAAAGCAGCTTAGCACAGGCAGTCGGCTAAACAGATGGCATCTCTTTACACCTGTCCAGACTCTCAAAATTTCTTTGACAAAAGCATGTGTGATGCCTAAATATGGTCGCATGATGACATCACATCATGACCGTATATAGACACATCATGACTATATATGGTCATGATGACATCACATCATGACCATATAAAGGCACATCATGACTATATATGGGCATACAACAGTTTTTTGTCAAAGAAAATTTGATAGTGTGGACAGAGCTTTACGTATTCATGAGATGTTATGAAATGTCACAGTATCTTCTCTGGTTGGTGGGATAGCACATTAACATCTCTTTATGCTTTGTCCAGTGACACTATCGCATATATATTTTATTTTATACTAAAGAAATATTGATTAAAGTCCTTATATTTGTTGCAGTTGCTTTGAGAAAAGGAGCTTGACGTTACAGGAAATTGATTCAGCTCTGAATTCAGGCTATCTTATAGCACCATTTCCTGAAGCACCGGTGTGCGACAAGGATGGACATTTTGTAGAGCAGTCATGTACTGTAGAAACTGGGTAAGCTAGAAGGAAGGAAAATATATAAATTTTGTTTGGTATTGTGAAGGTGTATATGATATTCTATATGATAGTCTATATGATAGTTTATATGATAGTCTTTATAATAGTCTATGTGATAGTCTAGATGATAATCTATATGACAGTCTATATGATAGTTTATATGATAGTCTTTATAATAGTCTATATGATAGACTATGTGATAATCTATATGACAGTCTATATAATAGTTTATATGATAGTCTTTATAATAGTCTATATGATAGTCTATATGATAATCTATATGACAGTCTATATAATAGTTTATATGATAGTCTTTATAATAGTCTATATGATAGTCTATGTGATAATCTATATGACATTCTATATAATAGTTTATATGATAGTCTTTATAATAGTCTATATGATAGTCTATGTGATAATCTATATGACAGTCTATATAATAGTTTATATGATAGTCTTTATAATAGTCTATATGATAGTCTATATGATAATTTATATGACAGTCTATATGATAGTTTATATGATAGTCTATATGATAGTCTAGATGATAGATTCTTAAATACATAACCTGGATGAACTAATATAAGCCAGAATAATTGAATTGTCTCACCCAGGCATATATAACACATCAATTTTATGTACTGGTTACATAACGTTAATGTGTTATATACGCCTGGGTTAGATGATTTCATTATTTTAAGTTCCAGTAGCAATCTGGCTTACCTCTAGCATATTCCAATTCAATCAATAAGATTTGAAACATTTAAGGTTTACTTAATTTGGTCCATTTTCTAAATATGTTTTAGATCAAAAATGTTACATGAAAGAAAAATTAGATAACAATGCATACATTACATAAATGCATATCTTCAGCATATGAGTAAAACATAGCACTTATTTTCTAAAATTATTACATATAATTTAAAAATGTATAAAATTGAAGTTATTGTCATCATATTTTCTTAACTTTCAGATGCATATGTGTTAACAAATTTACAGGCTTCGCCAGCCAACTTGAATACCCTGATTGTGGTAAGCTTGCAATAGATTTTATTGCAATAATAACTTTATTAAGTTTTGTGTTATACAGTGTTCTGAATGGCTGATCGTTTTTTTACATCACAGCTCAGTACAAGCCATGTCTGCTACACTTTTCTGGTACTATGATCGAAGCTATCAGAAGTGCAGGATATGGCGAGGAAGCTAACCAGATACAAAAAATGGTGGACAACCAGAATTTGGATCAAGCCATTAGCATTCTTGCAGTGCTGGATGAAGAACTAGTTAGCGTTTACTTGGTTGATCAGTTCTTGCCGGAGTGCGATAGTTTTGGTGATTACAACGACAAATCACGTCAACTGTCAACTGGAAGTAGCATTTGTAACTACAGAAATGGAACGTTGATTCCAAGCAGTTTACGAACATTTGATGAACCATCTGTCAACTGCTATGTATATCTCGTTGATGGTAAATCTCCAATTAATAGTTTTTCATAATGAATAAAATGATATAATTAATCTTGGTGATCAGAAAAATATTTTTAGATATAAATGATGGACATTCATAATTAAATGTTATAATAGATTTTTTTTATTTTATTTTTTTTTATTATTATTTTTATTTATTTATTTAGGGGCACACACACACACACACAAGCGCCGATGATGGCCAATAGGGAATATATTACTGTTACGATTACTTCTACGATTAGGTTACATTCCCTTTCACAAGACAAACATATACACATGATGCTTTACACAAATTAAATCTCATAATGAGGTTTAGGGAGTGCAGTTGTTTTCTTCGTGAGAAAAATCCTATAACACTGATAGGAATTGAACCCAGGATCCTTAGATTGGAAAGCAAGCATCTTAAACACCAAGCTATTCAACTCTACTTCCTTTTATTATTGAATTTGTAGAAGCTCCCTCGATAGTCTTCGATACTCAACCATCAGATTCCACAGTAAAGGTTGGTGGCAATGTAACACTTAGTTGTGCCTTCAGTGAGGTAGAAGGCTACGTCTACTGGGTTAAGAATGACATTCCCGTCAACGTGTTCCCACATGGTCGTTATCAACTAGAGCGAAAAGAAGCAGACAAGACTTATAATCTTCTGATTGTTAATGCTCAGAAGGAGGATGAAGGGGGCTATACTTGTGGAGTTTCTTTGAAATCATTGAGTAAAACAAGTTCAGTAGCTTACCTGACTGTTTCAGAAAGTATGTGGTTTTTCCATTATTATAAAGACAATATCATATAAATCTACTGTAGAATAAGTTTAAAAAATGAAAAAATATAAGTGTTTAATTTCTATTGTCCAATATAAGTCACTGGCTTTCAACTGAAAATTTAAAATTGATAAAATTTCTATTTCAGGTACAACAGTTGGGGTGCAACAAAGGTCAGTGATTTATAACATCTGTTGAATATTCATGTATAGTCATGTATTTGTATCTATTTTTATATAATGTTTCCACAGCATGGATTACTGTCACATAGTTTCCATGTATGTTATAAATTTTATAATATGCAAGATATAATTCCATTCTGGTTTCATTGGAACATGACTTGTAGAAATCAAATATTTTTAATGTGAGCTCTCGGCTGTGATTGTGTTTTATGTTAAAAATTCCTGGGATTATGTATGTCCATGCTATGTAGTAGTAGTAAAATTTTATTTATTCACGAAGCGCAAATCAACATTTACAATACTGTTTTTCATTATGGCCGTAAGGTACCTTATTTAAAATTAACCAATTACACATAAAGGTAGATCATAAAAAGCAAAAGTTAAATGCAGAAATTAAATAAAATAGATACAAAATATAATTATTAAACAGTACAGAATGCAAAAGTCAGCAATTTAGTAAAATAAAAGTACTGTAATGTGGTAATGCGAGAAGTTTATTTTTATATACTGTTGTATATATTTTTCACATTTATGTATTATTTCTTTTTAAATTAATATTACTGTTTTTCCAACAGATGCTTCGAAAAAAGAGATTTTCTAATCAGTGGACAAGAACTCCTAAAAGAATTGGAAGTTGAGGTTCCTGATGTGCCTCTGCCATCATGCACTGCAGATGGTCGTTTTGAAGTCCTTCAGTGTGTTGAAGGAACTGGGTAGGATTTCTCATGTATTTTCCACTTCATTTTATATGCCCTATTGAGCAGCACCTTTTCTTACAAACATGTTTATCATCCTGATTGATTCAGTCCCTATGATACTTTTCCAACTAATCATCTTAAAACTTGTACTGTTCATTACATGCATTGACTCTTTTTACTTAAACCATTTTTTCATTTGATTCTGACCTAAATGAAATACTTATTCTTGGCCATTAAAGTCTGTTCAGATGGATTTTGCTCTTTTGATAATATATTGAATGCTTGTCCTTTTAAGGCCTACTCAGATAGCATTGTACGATGAAGTCTGACCCAATATGGTGTCTCATTAGGTCTGTGTTTATCGTTTCCTTTTATTCACTCCATTTCATATGAATTTTAATGTGTATTTGATATATATTTTTGATGAATAAAAGTGATATAAAAGAGAATGCTGAAACAATAGGTCTGTGTAATAGGGACAGTTGCTTTACACAGCAACCTAAAGACTATCCTGACAATAAATTGTGTCTGGCTGTCTCTTTCAATGCTCTCTTATTTGGCCTTTAGGTGGACATCATTGAGATCCAGTACAGAACATCTCCTTTTAAAATGTATTCAGTATCTTAACTCTTGCTATTCAGAAAGAGACATTTTTTTGCTCTGAGAATTCCTTTGGGAGATGTCTATGATGCTATATCTTTTTTTTTTCAATTTTTCTTGCAAACCCTAAGGAGTTTTAAATGTTTTATATTGATATTTGCTATGTCCTTTTGAATTCAAACTACTGTATATTGACTGGTATAAAGTATTGCTTGATCTTGCAGATGTTATTGTGTAGACAGTGATAGCGGCGAATTTGTTGAACTTTTTCCACCAGATTGTGGTAAGGTTTATATTATATTTCTGGAAAATTAGATTAGATAAATGTTTTAAAAAATATCACAGAAGATTGGGAATGATATTAGATTTTGTGAATTGATGTAAAGTATTGTAGACAAAATTCATAATATTAAATTAATATTAAATTGGAAAAACAGATGTTAAACTGTGAGTTATAATCAAGATGAAGATGATAATTTTTTTTATCAATTAAAAAATAATAATTGGTATTTTTAATTGATCATTAAAAAATACTCAAATTAAAAAAATACAAGTTATAAAAATAGATACATATAAAGGTTTTGTTTTTGGTCATGTTTTTTATTATTTTATATTTCTTTACTAATAACTGAATCTATCTTTACTTTCAGTACCAGTAGAAGATTTAACGTAAGCATTTTATATAGTTATTTTTTGGTAATGGGCAACATCATGTAATATATGTTATAAAAGAGATCAACTAAAGTTGACCAGGACTGTGAATGAAATTAACTGGCTTAAATTTTAAATAAAAAAAATAACACATTCTGAAAAAAATTTCATTATTAGGATGATATAAAGACGTGACCTCCATAACATAAGCGTTGTTGCATCAAAGGTCACACATAGGATAGTGCCACCATTATTTAGTATAAATAAATGAATATTCATTATAGCAGTGAGATAGAACATTGTTCAGAGATATAAGATTGACAGTATGATTTATTGAATGAAAATATATCTTGCAGTGTTTGATGTAATTTTTCCTGGTTTGCCCTTAATAATCATGTGTGTGCTATAGTTTAGCGATTAATTACATTAATTTCTTTTATCCTTGATGGTTAATTTTCAAGGAAACAAGGGGTTAATTAGTTTATCAGTGTTAAGTATCTCACTATAGACTAACAACATCACTACTGATTAGTTTAATCACTTGTAGAGTATACTGACATGACTTAAGTAATGTATAAATTTATTATAGTTGCAAAACATGTTTCTTGAGATAATTTAAATATTTTGTATCACAGGTGTGCTCAGGTAACAGCGTCAATCAAAAAAGCACAGCAGGGTGCTGAGGCCCCAGGAATTGCTGGTGTACCAACACTTACATGCTCAGAAGATGGCAACTATGAACCTGTCCAGTGTGTTGGTGGTGTTGGGTATGGTCCATTCATTAATTAAAAATTATTATTATTATTGGAGACTATACTGAGTGTAATCCAAATCTACCTAACAAGCAAATTCAGCATTGAAGAATGACTTACATACAAAGCCCAAAACTTTCTTGCCCATGGGCCCCCTGACTAACCGTTACACCATTGTGATGATGATGTTTAATATTAGCCATGTTTACACATCCATTTGCTATCAAGTAACACTGATGATCTCCAGTTAAGCGTCTACACAATAATATTAGATTTAAGACAGAGGAACCAACAGATTTTGAGGAAAGTAAAATATTTATTATATTATAATTGTTATTATTATTGAAAAAACTTATTGGTTATACCAGGAAGTCACATGATTAGACCTCACTTGAAAAATTGTCCGCATTGCTGCTTGTTTTCAAATAATAATAGTATTCACCCTGTTTATCAACAGCAACTTCCAGCGATGACTCACACAGGTCGAACAACAGTTAATTTGCATAAAGATCACGTTGATGATCTCTGTTAACACACTGCTGTGATGAAGACATTACTGTAGATATCGCGGTTACTGATCCATTATGCTGAGTTACTAACACTGGTTACACAGCCACTTAGCACCTACAGTATATCAACAGATAAATGTGATCATTATGTGATCGCCTGTTGTGTAAACAAGGCTGATTATAATAATTGTAATGGTTATGACGGATCATAATGATTAAATATGACGGTGTTAATGATAATCATAATAACAGTGATAAAGGCGCTGTTCAACTTCCTACATGTGATGCTTCTTATAATTAAAATCCTCTTCTTTATTCTATCAGACATTTCAAAGTTATATTTGTGTAAAAGACAAAAGACAAGCCAAACCAGTCACTACTTACAAAAAATTTTTTAGTTTATTAATATATGGTTAAACAGTAAAATGAAAATTAAATTAGTGAAAGAATCATTTAAATCTGACGTTAAATATATAGCAGTTAAAATAACAGTATTTGAGAAATCAGCCTTCAAAGTTTACAATTTGGGGCATTCACCAAATCCTTAAAAAATGTTGTTTTAACATGAAAATGGGGAAAATAACAGCATAGCATCATGTATAGGTATATAAGAGTTAGTTTATTACAGTGAAATAGATTTTGAAAATTTTGACTTTCCAACATGTTTTGGCCATTATCTTGGAAACATGGTGTTTAAGGAGTTATTGGCTTGGCTTGTCTGTTGTTGAATACTTGTTAACAACAGGACTGGTAAAAAATATCATTGGGCTTATATGACTGGTTCGTAAAATAAACTTGTTGACAACGAAAGTTAACGTAAACCACTGTGCGTTAATTAGCATTAAGTTATGCATGTGACCAAAACAAACATGGCTGATTGGTCAATTTAGCGTTAATATAATTTAGATTAAATTTCAGAAAATATAAATTATAATATTTACCCACATGAAGTCAAAAAATAATTGTAGGCTAACAGAATTCAAAAACTGGATGTAAACATTTTTTTTATGAAAAACCCATACTGCCACAATCCAAAGCAACCTTGATTACGCAGCGTGTATCACGGTAATAGTAATAATAGATGGATTTATATAGCGCAAATAAACAAGGTCTCTATGCGCTCGACAAAACTATGCAGCCATTTTGTTTTGTCTAGTATTCACCAGTTTTCTATTCAACTGGTTGTCTTCGTTAAGTAGGATTTTACCACTGCGCAGGTGGGCGTGGTTTATCACAGAACGACCAGTCGAATATGGCCATTATTAACACATTTCACTGTTTTACCTCTAAACTTTTTTTAAAAAATGTAATTGTCAAAAATTCACAGCTGTTACTGTGTGGACACCAAGACTGGTCAACCCTCCGGACTTGTTCCACCCAACTGTGGTAAGGATAATAATCTACAATTTAATTGTTGTCATTGTTACATCTGTTTCTAATAATTTGTCAAGATCATGTATTTGAATTCAATTTAGTTTCTTTTATTGCTTCTTATTCCATCGGGGGTGGGGGAGGGGAATATATGAATTTTGATCAAGGTTTAAAAAACACTTAAAAATACAAATTTTAACAAAAAATATAAATACAGTAGATGAATTTGGTTTTTGGTTTTTTTTAAATTATTAAATATTTCTTTACTAATAACTGACTCTACCTTTACTTTCAGTACCAGTAGAAGAGTTAACGTAAGCATTTTTTAATATTTAATTTTGGTAATAGGCAACATCATGATAAAAGATCAACCAGGACTATGAATGAAATTCACTGGCTTAACTTTTTCATGAAAAATAAAACATTCTGAAAAAAAAACTATTTCATTATTAGGATGATATAAAGATGGCAAAGGTCATACATGGGATAGTGCCACCATTGTGTAGTTTATATTGTAATGACTGTTTATGGTAGCAGTGTAACTGAAAACTTTCCTGAGCCGAAATATGGGATATTTCATCTTTCACCAAATGAAAATATTATATCCTGCAGTGCGATATATTACTTCTGTGGTTGCTGTGTTTTTATCATGTGTGTGGTTTCACAGTAATAATCTAGAATAATTCCATGGGTTTAAGCGGGGGGTGCAGCTGCACACCATGAGGGCAAATTAGTTCCACTAAGTGGGTTAAAATACTAAATGTGACCGTTAAGTTTCATTGGAATAGGAATTTAGTTATGCATTCTCAATTTTCAAACACCAGGCCATTTTGCATCCCCAGGCCAAAACCAGCGTACGTCCCTTTATCTCCGTTAAGCATGTAAAGTAATTTAATAAAGGTATGGAATATATGTCTCATGAGACAATTTAAATATTTTGTATGTAAACACAGGTGTGCTCTGATAGCAGCATCATTGAAAGCGCAGAAGGATGCTGGTGCACCAGAAGTTGCTGATTTACCGGTACCTACATGCGCAGAAGATGGCAACTATGAAGCTCTCCAGTGTATTACAGGTCTTGGGTATGATCCATTCATTAATTGTACATTTTCATGGAGCTAGGTCTAAACCGAATGTACCTGACAAGCAAATTCAATTGATATGTCTTGAAGGGTCTGAAGAAATTTTAACTGATTTTAATGATGGAAGTGTGATTTAGAAGCCTGGTGCTGTTCAACTTCCTATGTGCCATGCTTGTTATAATTAAATGCTCTTCTCTTATTTCTATCAGACATGTAAAATTAGTTGTTGAATCCTTGTTAACAACAGGACTCAGTTGAATAGTAAACAGTATCATTGTTAGCACATTTCATTGTTTTACCTAATAACTTTTTAAAAATTGTAATTCACAGCTGTGTCTGTGTGGACCCAGTGACTGGTCAACCCTCCGGACTTGTTGCACCCAACTGTGGTAAGGATGTTAATCTACAACTTAATTGTGGTCTTTGTTACATCTGTTTCCAATAATTTGTCAAGATTATGTATTTGAATTCAATGTAGTTTCCTTAAAGTTAATGGATTTAAAAAAAATGTTTTATCTTCATTGCTACACCTTTATTTGAAGAGTTGCATATCTCCTTCATTGTCATTAAAAGTTTGTTTTCTTATTTTCTGTAGCTGGTACATCTAACACCACAGAGGCAGGAAAGTAAGTAATTTAAGCATACTGTATGTGCTTGCCTTTAATCTTGCAGTTTTTGTCTCAAATTAACCTGTTAAGCCAGGCACGCACTGCACCCGACAGTCGACGCGATGCTGCGAAGAACGCAATGGGACGATGTGCGCGTGATGGTGTCATGCAACCGTCAACAGTGAGTGCCTGTCTTTACTCGTAGTAGAGCACAAGATCAAGTGAAATACTTTTTATTATTTTACTATGTCTACAGATGTGCTAAGGAAGCCGCTGCCATCAATAAACAGCTAGAGGAAGCCGAGAAACTTGGAACATTCATCGCTGATTTGGCGCCACCATCCTGTACACCAGACGGCAACTACGAGCTCTATCAATGTTCGCTTGAACCTGGGTATGAATTGGCTTCATTTCAAGTATTATTTTAAACCTAAAGTACATATTTTGATAGTAGCAATGTCATCTCACAAATTTAAGGAAGATGATAATCTGTTACCGTAAAAAAACAAGTCTATGAAAGAATAAGTTAACAGCAGGCACAAGGGTAAGAGTGGTGGTTAGGGTTAAGCTAAACCCACTATTTGGATCAGTTTACTCCTCTAAGTATTTTATCATAACTTCATTTGTTTGGTTATGGGCCTGATCAGTAAGACAAAAAGACTGGACATAAAAGGAACTTGAGGGTCATTATTTATTCCTGTTTATATTTAAACTATTTCCAGGTTGTGTCTGTGTGTGGATGCCATTACTGGAGAAAGTTCTGGCCTTCTAGGACCTGATTGTGGTAATTATAAATTATATTTAGTTTTTCATACTTGTCAAAATACTTCTGATGCCATACCAGAATGTACTATTTCTTTGTATGCATAATTATAGTTCAAATTCGTAGCATATGTGTACATGTTAAAATTATTATTAGTTATTTAGTTAATGTATATTAATGGGAGATTGTTAATTGCTCCCATTAACGATGGATAGATAACATATTAGAACTAACATTAATTATCAAAAAACAAGTTATTAAACAACTTTAAAAATCAATGTTTGTTTGGCTATCCTGATATCATTGAATTTATGTATTTTAAATAATGAATGAATTTCTTGCCTTTCAGTACTAACAGAGGAGTTAACGCAAGTATTTTTATATATTTTATTTATTAGGCAATATCTTAACAACACGTGTTTAACATGTTTATTTATTAGGCAATATCTTAACAACACATGTTCAAAATGTTTATTTATTAGGCAATATCTTAACAACACATGTTCAAAATGTTTATTTATTAGGCAATATCTTAACAACACATGTTTAACAAGGAACTCAAGTATGGTACATACTAGAACTAACTGTTTGACATTTTCTCTAACAGTAGCACTTTTATAGAACAATTTGTAAAGTTAGTGATGTTATAAAACAGATTTTCTTGAATTTCTTAATATTTTGCATGTAAACACAGGTGTGCTCAGGTGGCTGCAGCTCTTGAAACACAACTTGCAACTGGACTTTTGTCAGGAATTCCAGGTGTGGTGGCACCTACCTGCACAGCAGATGGCAACTATGCACCTCTTCAGTGTATTACTGATCTTGGGTATGATCCATATTTAACACATATTCATCACAAATCTATCTGATAAGCACATGTGCTTAGCCAGGCTCTGGAGGGAAAAAGTGGAGAAATGGTGGTTACACCCCCCCCCCCCAGTCTTTAAATATTCTGTATGTATTCAAAAATCTGTATGTATCTGTATGCTTCCAACACTCTCTTTGTCTCTTAGAAAAATCAGTTGTACAACAAATCAAAACTTTGAGCATATCTTTAAGTTATTTGATCATGGAGCATTGTCCAACTTCCATCATAATGGAATAACATTATATGGTTGTTTGAAAGTATGTTTGGCAGGATTGCATTCTCAAAGAAAGCCTTATTAGCTTGTGAAAACATACTTGTTTTGTGTCTGATTTTATTAAATATTTATTAAATGTTTATTTCTGTATTTTTTCCCTGATACTTTCGCATTGTTTTGTATACTACTAGTGGTTTTTGATAATTGTTTTTTTTTTGGTTTTTTTTGGAATGAAATGTATTTTAATATTGTAAATTATATTTTGTAATTTATTCCATCCTGTTTTGACAAGCTACCTGCAGTTTTAGGTGTAAAATTAAATAAATATTATAATGTATAAATTTTATTCCATTTCCTATTCAAACATTTCTGAATTATATTTATGAATTCTTAAAATTCTCAGCTGTGCCTGTGTGGACACCAAGACTGGTCAACCCTCCGGACTTGTTGCACCCAACTGTGGTAAGGATTTTAAGCTTCCATTTCATGCTGGTCATTGTATTATCTGGTCTGTATTTTTCATTGAAGGGTTCACCTTATTTGCCTAATATAGTGATACATATTTCTTATTCGTCGATTGATAAAAATCTGTTTTCTTATTTTTCAGAGGCCGTCACTACAGCGGCTGGAAAGTAAGTGTAATGATGTTATTAAAAATTAATTTAATTAATATAATTGTAATATTAAGTCGATTGCTGAAATTATATTTATTATTAATTTTTATTATTAATATAATATTGAGTTAGCTTATTTTGTCATAATTTATATCAGGTGCGCCATGGAAGCTGCTGCCATCCTTAAACAACTGTATGATGCTGAAAAAGAAGGAACGTACATTGCTGATTTGGCACCACCAACGTGTACACTGGACGGAAACTATGATCCTCTTCAATGTTTTCCTTTAATTGGGTAAGAAATCGGGAATTCATATATAGGCCAGTTTATCTTTTGTATTGAAGGCCTAACTTACCAACTGTTATTTTTACCATGTGGATGAACCTTTACAACACTATTTTTTTTTTATAATTGTTCATTACATTTGATTTTCTATAGTTGTTATTGTGTGGACACCCAAACTGGTAGTGAGTCTGGTTTAACTGCCCCTGCTTGTGGTAAGAAATCAAATGTTATTGTCCATTTCCTTTTCAAGTTCTTCTGCTGAGTTTAGGTTCAAAGGTCAATTTCTCAACAGAAGCCTGTAAATTGTTTGATAATAATTGCATTGTTTGTTACAATGTGTAAAGCTCTGTCCAAATCATCATATTTTCTTTGACAAAACCAGGGGCATAGAGTGTTTTCCATCTGGGGGCTGCGAAAACTGCAAACTACGAAGGATCAGTGGCTTAACAAATTAGCCAAAGGGCCCCTGGTGGGGGGACTTCGCAGCCCCAGCTGCTCCGGTGTTTGTAGCATTTTGTGATGTATTTTATTGTCTTTTTTGGCACAGTTTAGTTCTTAATTCTGTATCGTGAAAAAATAAGCGTAATATATTGTAATTAAGATAATACTTTGATTGTCTGTAACTTAATATCTAGCTAAAGTAAATTTAAGTGATGATATTTGATATTAATTAGTAAAAGGTAATTATTACAAAAACAATATAATATTATAATAATAACGTGTTCATTGCACATTTCTCTCCTGTGTGATACCAAAGTCTGTTTTAATGTCGCAATCCACTTGCACACAAAGTTTTATGCAGTCGGCCCAATATCGCGAATCATGAATTTTTGCCTGATATGTTAATTAGTTTTCTTCCCAAAGTTATTCTAATGCTGATTGGCTTTTGCCTAAAATGTTAATTAGAAAAGTTATAAAGTATTCCGTAGAGGAAAAGTAGGGCAGATCAATTTGCAACCCCACTTTGACCGGACGTAAAGTTAGCTGTGTTCTGTTTTATCCTGTATTTTTAAGCTGATGGTCGATTTGGTAAGTTTCCTAATGAAATAAAGGAGTCTCAAGGCTCATTACACAAGTTAAACTGTGTCTTTAATCTTTATTAGTTACCATAAGTCGATGGAATATCACTGACTGAACCACACACTGATCGAAGAATGCTACAATATTTGTAAAGTAGCTTCTAAGAGTAGTATTGTTTTCTTGTATTAGTAAAAAAAAATTATGATGATGTCTAATTTGTAATTGTTTTGAATATTTTTTCTTAATTTTTAGTACCTACTACACCTCAGCCCGAAACAAAAACGTGAGTATTTCGTATATATTATTAAAATGGTCTACATTTAAAAATATGCTGTACAAGAAGACGTCACACTGTATTACTTAAACAAAACAAAAAAAATGCTGAAGTATCTATTCTAGGCCTCAAAACCCACGTCACTTAAATCGCCTATTAGGCAGTGGCTGTTATTACACCAGTCTTAAACCAATTCCCAACTCATAATCATTAACAGATGTGCTGAGAGAGCAGCTGCCGTCAATAAACGACTGGACGATGCTGCAAAAGCAGGAACCTACATTGCAGATTTAGTGCCACCTAGTTGTACACTGGACGGCAACTATGAACCGCATCAATGCTTTCCTTTGATTGGGTAAGAAATATTGAAACTTTACCATACAACTATATTATTTGATGTGCTTATAATGTGATATCATTTTTGCGAGATTGCTCTCTAAATCACTATTTAATCTTGTCATGGGCGGATTTAGGGGCCTGTCTCTCTCCCCCCCCCCCCTTTTGGAAGGTTAAGAAAGAGAAAAAATTGATCGCCAAAAAACGCCTCAGAAGTTATTTAAGGCATCTAGAACCCCTAAAGTAGTACTATCTCGATAGGTCCTCCTTTTCGGCCCCCTTTTTTCGACATCTCTGGATCTGCCCGTTTGTAACTTACTTTGTTTCCGATCACCCTGTTCTTTCACCATTCTACGTTGTCAGGCTTACTCTGTTTCCGATCACCCTGTTCTTTCACCATTCTACGTTGTCAGGCTGTATCCATACTGTCTTATACATGAAAAATTGTGTGGATTGCACATATATGCGCAGGGTGATGTCATATCACCTCCATATATGGGTGATATCATATCACCTCCATATATGGGCAAATCTATTTTTTGTGAATACTTATCTAGATGAATCAACTAGTGCCTAAATTTCCTTTAGCTGAATTTCAAAACATAAAAAGAATCTTAAGACATGTTAATGATAATAGTTTAAGATAATCATTTATTTCAACTCTCTTAGTTGTTACTGTGTGGATAGCATTACTGGTGAACCCTCCGGCCTAACTGCTCCAGCATGCGGTATGGAATATCTTTTATTACTTCTAATTTATTACTATAATTATTATCATGTATTCATTAATGAATATAAAATAAGTATGTTAATGTTCATGTTGTTAAAACATATGCCAATGAATTATTTATTAATTAATTGAATGATCAATCATTGGTTAATATGATAAATGCTATAAATAGATTCATTACTTTATGATAAAATATTGCCCCTTTTATGATGAAGATTGACTGATTGATTAGATAGATTTACACAAATTCAATAAATGAATTGAACTAACAACACATTTCTTTAAATGGCTATTACATTACATATATTAAAGGATTTTATTTAGAAAAAAAAATTATTTAAAAAGAGAGCATAATGCTAGATTACTTCATATCATCTACAATTTTATACTTTAGTTTGTCATAATCATGTATATAAAAAAAAATTTAATACATGCACAGTATTAATTACATTAATTTAATTGAATATTTCTATTTCAGAAACTGTTCAAAAGAGAACGTAAGTACCAACACACTCATTGTGGGGGGGGTGTCAATATTTTACTTTTGTATAATGTCCTATTTATATTGCAGTCATGCTTAAACTGTTTTAAATTTTCATAAATGTATAATTACTGATTTTTGTTAAATTCCCTTTTATCCAATCATCCCTATCTTTTCATAATATTTGGCAGATGTGCTGAGGAAGCTGCTGCTATTAATAAACAACTTGATGATGCGGCAAGAGCAGGAACGTTTATTGCTGATTTAGCGCCACCAACATGTACACCAGACGGCAACTATGAGCTTTACCAGTGTGTGCCATTACTTGGGTAAGAACTAAGTCTTATTTCATCTGAGACCAAAGTATTATGTTCAAGATTTCCGATTCAACTTTAAATCATTCTATTAGAAATACAAATAACAATACTTAAAAATAATTTTTAAAAACCAACAAAAACTTGCCTATGCAGAATATTTATCATTTTGTAATAATTATCACTCATTTACATTTATATACAGTACATAATTATTAGGGATATTTGAACTGTTTATGTTTAAGTAAGTAATTATTTAGTAATAGACAGTTTTCGCCACATGACGTAAACCTGAACGTTAACGGATGACGTCATAATTTATTCATCTTGCGTTGCAAAGTACGTTAATTTCAGGATTTTACGTGCTCGACGTACGTTAATAACGGGTTTGCGCATGCGTGTTTCGATTTGTTTACAAAAAGGGCAGAGCTATCGTGCTGCATTTTGGGTACTAACGTTAAAGTTAAGGTTAACGTCGCACGGCAAAAACTACCTAATGACGTGTACTTCCTCAACTCTCTTAGATGTTTCTGCGTGTATGCATTAACTGGAGAAAAGTCTGGTCTAACTGCTCCAGACTGTGGTAAGTAAAATAGGTTCTCTTTAATTTTATATATATGTGATATATTGTTTTATATATTTATTGTTATTATATATTGTTTTATATATATATTGTTATTATATATTGTTTTAAATATATATATGATATATTGTTTTATATATATATATATATATTGTTATTATATATTGTTTTATATATATGTGATATATTGTTTTATATAAATATTGTTAATATATATTGTTTTATTTATATGTGATATATTGTTTTATATATATATATTGTTATTATATATTGTTCTATATATATATTGTTAATATATATTGTTATATATATATTGTTAATATATATTGTTATATATATTGTTATATATATATGATATATTGTTTTATATATATATTGTTATTGTTATATATATAGATTAAAAGGCAAAATACTGAAAAACAACAATGCTGTGGGAAACAATGGCTGGATCTCAGTAGAGATACTAAAATGATAAGCAACAGCTAAAAAGTAAACATAAGTAAACAGCCAGAAATAGAACCAGAGCTTTCGGACAACACTAGTCCTTCCTCGGTGGCGAGTGAGTGAGGGTAGAAAAAGCTAGATGGTATAAAGTGAGAATATCATGCAAGCATGATTGGAAACAATAGGCTGGGTGAGTGAGATTAGAATAAACAGCCTAAACAAGTAAACAGGAAGGCCAAAACTAAACTTTAGAGGCAAGCCTCAATAAATAAGCCAAATGATTTATCCAGAATAAATTGAAATGCCATTGGTTTAATTTAGCGTACTGGGAGAACGTTCCTAATATTGAGTCCAAATGGTATGGTTGTTTTAAGTAAATGTTCCCAGTGATTCTCTTTATTTTTGCGATTTTTGTCACTCCAACTGGCATTATGGTCAATAATGAAATGTTTCACTCTGAAATTTGAAATTGAATGACCAGCTAAATTGAAATGTTCGGCTACTGTTGATCAAGCTTAGATGTTCTGATAGCTGATCTATGTTGTGTCATTCTCATACGGAGAGTGTTTTTTGTTTCTCCGACATATTGTTTACCACAAATATTACAATATATGAGATAAATGACATGTTTGGTGAGGCAATTAATTGATTGCCTTATCCGAAATATGTGGTTTGTTTGGTTGCTCTTAAATGATTGTGTAGAATCAAGCAAGGAGCATGTTTTGCATGATGAACCACAAAGATGACTACCCAAATTACGGTTGTCGCGAGAGTTAGTTTGCCTCTTAATTTAGATCGTACTAATATATCACGAAGATTAGGTGGTCTGCGATAGGTTATGAACGGTGTATCCGAAAAAACAGATCTAAGACATTCTGTGGTCTGTAGAATGGGCATATGTTTCTGAATTATAGCCCTTAGTGGTGGTAACCTAGGGTGATAGGTAGTGACCAGTGGCACTCTGGTCGATCGTTGACGTGGTTTGTACGTCAGTGTTTGAGCATGAGGTATGTCCTTTGCTTTTTTTATAGCATTTTCAATGAGTCCTCGATGATAATTTCTATTCCGGAGATGTCCGGATAGTTCTTCTGTTCGATTCTGAAAATATAAATCCGAAGAACAAATGCGTCTCATGCGCAATGCTTGGCTGTACGGAATGTTTTTTGTACAGTGCGGGGGTGACAGCTGCTACGGAGCAGGTACATATACTTATCCGTGGGTTTACGGCCGTGGAAGAGATCAGTTTTAACTGCACCATTTTCCATGGTCACGGTGATGTCCAAAAAATCTACACTGCTTGTGGA